TATTGTATTTACTATGATGTTGTGAATGTGTATTTGATAATTCTTCTAGTGTTCTGGAATAAAAATCCCTGGAATCTCCACAGTCATGAATATCTTTTTGTATACTAAGGAGTTGACTACTGCCCTTCAGTTCCCAGCTACACTGAGAGTGACTCTGGTCCAAAAGCATGACTCAAGAGTTGGATGTATAAACTTTAGTTTTTAGACTATGAGAAGAAAGGAGGTAAAGACTGAATTGGCTACAAATGGCCAGTAATTCAGTCAGGACTGGGGTGAGGCTTCTTATTGATAGCTATATTGGTGGAGGTTGCTGGAAGGCAATGTACCTAGAGAGGGCATGGAACAATCTATGTTTATAATTAGCATCTCAAAGGGTAGGTTTCATGGGACTGAACTCTCAATCCATGAGCTCTAAAGCTATATATAGGTAGATCTTGTCAGAATTTAATAGATGATAGCTGATACCAGTTGAGGAAAGAATAATTTGTCTGATGGATCAGGAGTAACCTCCCGGTATCTGGTGTTACAAACATTCTGTTATGTGGTGGATAAAGAGTAATAAGAACATACTTTGGCTTTTATTATGTCCTACATCTATTTATTAAGAGCAGGTATTTAAATAGAATGCCAGGCTCTGCAAGTAATAAGAACATCTACAAGATAACATCTTTTTCTTTAAGGGTCCTACAGTCTAGTATAGTTGTTCTTCCTCAACCTGTGGGTTGCAATGCCTTTGGTGGTCAAATAGCTCTTTCATAGGGGTCACATATCAGCTATCCTGCCTATTGGATATTTACACTATGGTTCATAACAGTAGCATAATTATACTTATGAAGTAGCAGTGAAAATAATTTTATGCTTGGAAGGTCAGGACAACATGAGGAATTGTATTAAAGGATTACAGTGTTAGAAAGGTTGAGAATTACTGGTCTAGTAGAAGAAATGAGAAATGAATACATGTTAAGTTTTAATGGGCATAGAATAGTCAGTAGAATTTTAGTTCATCATTCTGTATGGCAAGTGTTAGGATTCAGGCATTATATTGGCCTCTGTCACCTGGCAGGATAAACCCAGGAAGTTCCCTATCCAGCCTAGGGTCCTATGGCTGCTATGTCACTAAGCAGATGCAAAGGTCCCTTTAAGAGATAAGCTCTACCCATTCTGGCTCTCCTCTTGCTGCTCTTCTCGAGAGACAGTCTGGTCCTTGCCTCCTTCTCGCCTTTCTCTCTGTATTTCTCTTTCCCTCTTCCCTCCCCTTTACTGTTCTCTCAATAAACTCTTCACTTAAGTTCTGTCTGCATGGTGTATTTTTCTCCTACCCCTGGCCCTTCTCATCAAGGTTTCAACTTGTACCATAATCATAACAGTAAGGAGGTAGAAGAAAATCTCAAAAGTATGTAACAAAAAACCAAAATCGTATTATGGAACATGGCCAGAGATACATTACGTTGCTTAGAGCACGGTTCAGAATACTTATGAGTGGTTGGAGCTTGGGTTGGTATATTTTATGGGTTGTCTGAGCATGGCTAAGCATTGCTAAAGCAAGTTCAGCAAGAGCTCATTGTAGACTCTAGGTGAGTTCATTGTAAAAGTCTTTCGGCTTTCCATATGAAAATTGCCATAATAAATGATGAAAAAAGACTGGAGCATTCAAGAGGAAAGGAATAAACTATTCTGACAGGCATTTAATTTTCATGTAATGTGATAGAAATAAAATATGAGAGCGAAGTTCTATGAAAAATTTTATTTTATTCATTCTCTCCTCTATTTGATCAGAAGACAGAAGGTGTTTAATGTTAGAAAATATACTGTGCACCCATCAGCAAACACCAGAATTTTCTACTCAAGCTGACTTTACTGTAAGGAAGGGGATTATTACTCAGAATAGGGAGGCAAAGGTTATACCATCCAATTCCTTACAAATTCTTTCAGAGGCCTCAGTACCTGTCTGCCATTACGGCATCGTATCTTCATGAGCCCAATTCCTCTGTCTCAAAATCAGGGCTGTCCTCAGCTTGCTCTTTAAGGTTGAAGTCATTGTCTCTCTATGATCCACAGAATAGCCTCACACTGAGGATCATCGTCTCTATATCTGGACTATTGACTTGACAGGCATGGAGTACACTTGGTTCCTTCCCTTAGTCTTGGGCTTTTGCACTGTAGAAAACTGGCTGTTAGAACTGCAGAACTGCTTGCCTTAAGTTGACTTCCCTGCTTGTTATGAATATATCTCTGGTAAAAAGATGAGGAGAAATGGGGCCAGGGTTGGTGAAAGACTCAAGATGGCTTCGATTCATGTTGGTAGTGGGAAGAGTCAGATGACTACTGTGGGATAGTGAGGAAAGAAATGCTTCTGGAAGGAAATTGGGAGGGATAAAAATATATGGTATTTCAAGAAAATTTGTGAATATAACATACATTCTAAAATGAAATTTAATTATGAAATAACTTTTCCCAGTGATTATAATAATTTCTTATTTGGTATAAAAACTATGAAAAGATTAAAGAAAACAATCATTTATAATCTTAGCGCTTACTAGTAATCAAGGTTAATATGTTGATATTTCCTTCTAACATATGTACTGTTATGATAGTATAATATTCTGTGTTCAATGTGCTTTGTTCTAATTATTACTTGACATAAAATCAAGCTATAGGAATCAAGAATCAAATAATATCAATATCCTTTTGAAATTAATATTTCTTTTAAAAACGTGTGTGTGTGTGTGTGTGTGTGTGTGTGTGTGCCACATGTGTGCAGGTGCCCCGGGAGGCCCCCAAAAGGCATTAGGTCCCCTGGACATCATGTAGTTCCAGGTGGTTGTGAGCCAACTTGAACAGGTGATGGGAATATAACATGAGCCCTCTACAAGAGCAGTAAATGCTCTTGATCACTGGGCCATCTTCCCAGGCCCATGTGAATGAACATTCTTGATGCTGAGTATATACTGTCACAATGCGCTTGTCTTTCCACCTCTGTTCATGAAAGGAATGGCACGATTCTAAGCATGCCTGGTACACAGCAGCTACTTTCAGCAGTTGCACTGCTTCTGCCGTCTTTCAGTGACATGAACTCCTCGAGGCATCTAACGACAATGGAAAAACCCTAAGCAACTATTTCCATCAACGTCCTGCTGTTTTCTTTCTTCATTATATTCTTGTAAATTTAATACTAGATGTGCGGCTGGGTAAGGTGGCATTTGCCTTCCTCTAATAACACTCGAGTGGCAGAGGCAGAGACAGGTGGCTCTCTGAGACTTAGAATCCACCCTGGTTTATACCAAGTTACAGCCCAGTGAGAACTACAGAGAGACCCTGGCTAAAAGCTTTATAAAAGAATTGAAAAAAAAAAATGAGGGCATGTAACCTGTTTTCTCTTACTGCTTTTTAAATATAATCATAATTTCTTAGTTCAATGTCTACGAAATGTTTAGGACTTAGTTAGGAACGTGAGTGTTTGTACGCTGAGTTCTGTGCAGGTTAAGGTAGGCATTAAAGATGGGTAAATGAAAGAAGGAAACGAATGGAATACAGTATCTGTTAATTCAGCATGGGATTTTTTGTGGGATTATTAAGTATGAAAAATTCGCAAATTACTTCATAAAAGTGCTTTATGGGTTGTGGCACTTTAATGATGTTTACCGTGGCTTAGAGGAGACAAAGGCCTGAAGTCCTGTGGCAGTAGGCCAGAATCTGGAGCAATTGTGCGTGAAATTAAATAATTAAGTTATTGCGGGTAGTAAGAAATCTGCACAAAACTTTGAATTGTTTTTAAACTCTCTTATCTGGAAAGGTTGACAGGTCCTTTGACTCTTCATTTACCTTCCCTTCCCACTTGACCACATTTTGTTCCTGCTAAGTAAACAGGAGTTATGAATTTTCTTTATAATTTAATATCACAAGCTCAGTGTGGCCAGGTAAAGGATGTTATGATTAAAGTTTATGACATTGGAGGGATAAACTCAGTGCACTCAAGTGTGAGCTGTTGGGAGAAAGGTGGTTTCATCTCTAGAAGCATGTTTTCAGTCTGTGATCTGACCCTGCCTGAGATGACTTACCTGCGGTCTTATTGTTGGGGCAGAGCACCGTAGAAACACGGGGGATCAAGACTGACTATGTGGCAAATCAACAATCAACTATAAAAGGTGCTGGCCATTTATAACACTTTAAGAAGACGAAAGGATTGTTTTACTTCAGGTATATCAGAGGCACAGTCCATTTTGGAAGTGGCCAACGCCAGTGTCTTCCTGGTGAGGAAAACGGGTCTTAGCGCATGCTTTTATGGGCCTTGTCTATGTTAAATTTCAGATATATGGTCGTTGATGTTTACTGGGGCAGCTGGGAGTCTCTGCCTTAATTATTCTTTTTATCAGTACATTTCAGATGGGCTCACTGGAGGGATCCTAGCAGGGAGCCTCTGCAGCGCTGGCTCTTCCAGGGCATTTTCTAGTGCTGATAAGGCTGTGAAATTGGTCTTTTCCCTTGAAGGGATCCAAGAGCAGACCAGGGAAATTCTCAGAAAACTCAAGAGGATTCCTTGAAGGAAAAGGGTATCTGGAAAAGTGGCTATCCAAACCCTGCCTCTCCAGGGCTTTCGCCTGGTGTTTATATGTTTTGGTTTTATTTGTGAAAACTAATTATGGAACATTCCAGAACGCTCCATAAAAAGTGAACATGGGGAGCCTTTCAGGTCCTGGAGAGCTGCAATCAAAGGATCAACCAAAGAGGTGAAGCTGGAAAGAGCCAGGGGATTTGGAGTCTGGCAGCTGGAACAAAGCTAAAGTTACCTAAGAACTGTGGAAAAGCAACACATCCCAGCTCGAGGTTACTAGCTTGCACTTTGTTCTTACTCTTTGAGATAGATATCTATAGTCCTCTGCTTGGGTTTCAATGGCAGCCCTTTCTCTTAGTAATCAAAGGTCATTGCCAACCTACCCACTTTTCCTTACCATGTCCACGTGGCAGGGGCTTGTAGATAACAGGGCAGGTGTTACAATTTCAACACTGAGTTTATGTGGAAACGCAGGCCTAGAGAGATCTGACGGCTCAAGATAGCAAACACGCTGGTAAGTGATTTGGGTTCCTATTTCATTGTTCTCTTTGCACAAGTTTTATTTGGGCCAATGATATTTGAGAGGCAAGCTGTAAAATCGACTTGAGAACATCTGCAGTCTTCTAGCCCCGAGGCATTCCCCTTCCACTGGCTTAGAAATCTGTCAGGTCCTGTGGGAGAAACAGAAAGCTCCTATGTGATTGTTTACCCTCTCATGAGCATCCTTTTCTTTTGCTTTGCTGGTTATATGTGAAGATCCTAGAGGGATCTACCTGCCTTGTACCCTTACAGTCTTCTCACTTGGGCCTCTTTATGTCTCCCATACAGATCCTGGAGAAAAGGATGTTTTCCTGATTCGCAGAACCATTTTAGAGCATTTTTCTTACTACACTGGAAAGAGAACCTGTCATCTCCTTGGAAAATGATTATCTTATATGTTCTCAGATTATATGTTCCTAGAATGAACCTGCTTTCTTCGTCTCAACTACAGGAAATCTTAACATCATTGTGTTTTGTTTTTTTATAAACAGAGATTTTATTCTTTTCATGTCAAGTAATGTCTTAATTGTTGGTGGCTTCAGTATAGAATTCTAAGTTCTTGCCTGATCCAGCATTCATCTTATCCTTGGCTTCTTCGCCTTCTTTCTTTCAACTAATTTTTATTCTATTCTTCTCTCCTTTGGTGTCTTGTTAAATGGACTGCATTTTTATTTTCATGGGTAATATTTCCATTCACTTGTTTCTTATATTTGAAATAACTCCCTGGTGTCATCCTCGACCTGAGATTCTTTGTCATAGTCCTTAACTACTACACAACTGCTCCAAACAAACACTTTGTGGAGTTTCTCTTCAGGACCCCTTTTACAGAGGCCTACCTAGCTCTTTGTGTTGTCAAGCTTAATTAGGGTGCTTTGATGCTCAGTGCAAAGTGCTCCACCAATATAATATTGACACACAGACTCATCTCAGTTGGATGCAAGTACACAGAGATAGGCTACTTGGCCCATACCTAAGGTTTTGACTACTTCAAAAAATCCATGCTGTGCCTTCACAGATGAGGAAAGTCTCCATTACCTCTTCTAAGGCAGCATTAGCATCCATTATAACTCCAGCAGCAATGCCCTCCATGGCCAAGGTGGTAGATTACAGGGGAGATCAAATTTTGAATGCATGCAAACAAGCCTTGGAGGCTACAGAAGAAAAGCATGACTCCTTAATCATATCTCTGTGTTAACAGAACCAGCTCTCTGGTTCCAATTTCCAGCCTCCTACTCACCTGCTACGCCCAGTATTTCCAGCACATTCTCTGAATCCAACAAGATGTCTCATTGTAGGTCCCTACACTTGCTCTCCTCTTCACTATCGATCCTCCTCTTAATGTTTGCCCTTGTCAACCATGGGATTCATATAGCATCATGATGACCTCTGCAGAGGTATGCTATCAGCCCCTTTACTCCTTCGGTCAGAATTTCCAACCATTGGTTCTCCTCCTTTCTGATTAGTATTCGTCAATTTCCAGGTAGTTGAGGATGGCTAAGGAGAAGCCCATCATCCCGTTTTCTGGTCCTCAGCCAATCACCCACCTCTTAAAGAGTTCACATTATCACAACACTAGGCAAACTAGCATCATCTTGCTTCCTGATTCAACCTGTTTGTTCCCTGGGCTTTGGACATCTTCCAATCTTATTTTTTTCTGCTTCATCCATTCACGTCTATGTTCTATTAATCTTTGTGAGTTTCTCTAAAGCTCTAAAGCACTTAGTTTTTGGTGTTTTTTTCTCTTTTATATCTATACTTCTTCATTCATAGTCAACAAACCTGAAGTTTCAAACATGAGTAAGGTATAGCGTCTAGCTAGTGTCTATACATTTAACAGTTTTTAAAGAAACTATCTTACAAGTATATGTCAAAAGCCAACAAACAAAAAAACTGAATTTTTAATCTCAAATCCACCATTCATCTCTTTCCATCTTTAAAAAAAAAAACAGTGTTTTCTAGGATGTGGAGACTGCTCGGGTGAGAGTAATCCTGTGCAACATGAGGAGCTAAGTTCGAATACCCAACATTCATGAAAAAGCCAGGTATGACTGTGTATGCCTACAGCTCCACTGCTGGGGGGATGGAGATGAGATGGGTAGATCCTGAGAGTTCACTGGCCACTCAAGGCTCCTTGCACATGCCCAGGAGTACATTACCCCAACTTTCAAGTATACACCGCCCCCACAACACCGCCCCCACAACACGTACACACATTGCAAGTGTTTTGGCTTCTCAGAAGAAAAGTTCTTTGGTCTTGGTGCTTGCTCTTCCACTCTCTGCGACTTCCTTTTTCTTTATCTTGCTATCTTGTTGTCCTCATACACTCTGTCAGTAAATCCTGCTGGCACTGCCCTCAAATATATCCCCTTTGGACTGTTCATTGTTTACATCCCTAGGACAAGATTTCCCTGAAATCAGGGACTTTTGTTTAGTTGCTCCTGTTCTAAGAGCTAGGGTTTTCCAGATCCAGGTTCTCATATTTTTAAGCAGCTGGATGTTTTTTTTATTTTTTACTTCTTTTTTTTAAAGATTTATTTTTTTATTATGTATACAGTATTCTCAGGATTCTGTCTGTGTGTGTGCCTGCAGGTCAGAAGAGGGCATGTAAACCACCATGCGGTTGCTGGGAATTGAACTCAGGACCTTTGGAAGAGCAGGCAATGCTCTTAAGCACTGAGCCATCGCTATTTTCTACTTCTTTAAAGACTTTTGTGTTTCAATTATGTGCATGTATGTCTGTGTGAGGATATATGCTACACATGTGAGTTCAGGTACCTGTGGAGGCCAGAAGAAGATGATCAATATTTTGGAACTTGAGTTATAAGCAGTTGTGAGCTATCCAACACGGATTCTAGAGACCTAAATCAGAACATCTGTAAGAGCAAATACAAACTCCTGAGTCATTTCTCCAGCTCCAAATGATTGGATTTTTTTAAAAAAAATTTTGTGGAATAGAAAAGTAATGTAAAACGAAATATTTACCATCCATAAATAGTGTTATTGACATTCAGCCATGCCCACTAACTTGAGGTGTCTGTAGCTGTTTGTTTGTTTAGTTCTTTGTTTCATTATGACAGCTGAGCGGAATCAATTTAGCAGAGATTTTAGTGGATTATAATGCTGAAAGTTTTACTAGATGGTCTGCTATAGGAATGTTTACCAATCTCTACCCTAGATTAACAGTCTCTCACAGTGGCTAATAACTAAAACTTGTCTTCTCACTAGTTTCATTAAAAATCTCAGAACTTCTCATGGTAGCCCTAGCTCAAATAGCTATTTCAGAATAAGCCCCTGTTTAAGTCAACAATTAATTGCAGAGGCCTCATCCGTCCCTTTCTCTGTTGCTGTGGAGTGGGGTAATTGTAACCTCCACTGGCTCATGCACTTACCGTGGGAAAGAACCCACTTCTTAGGTGTGACTGGGATGCTGTAACCAGAATAAGCATGAACAGAATCTTTGCTTTAAAGCAAGCAAACAAAACCGTTTGCTGTCTACATGATTCCACTTCCTGTTTCAAGACAGCGTATTTCAGAACACCGTGTTTTAGTCCTCTTGAGAATTGAGAAAAAGTATAATTCTCATTCTGTTCAGTATTCTGCAAATACTTGATACCTCAAGCCGTGTCTGTCTTGGATAGGGTAAATGTTGTTTTTCAGTCTGTGAACTTCATGCATATGTAATTACTGCTTGGTGAGCCGGTGGTTCTGGAATCTACAGAAATTACTGTCCTATCTGAAGATGTATTGGGCGGGTGCCGCAATGCAGCATTACTTGTACATCCTGTCCTCTTGGCAGCAGTCAGGCTTCATCCCTGGCTATAGGGCCTCATTCCAGCTTTCTCTCCTTCTGTGAGAATTAAGCACACTCCATCCAAAATGGGAGGGTTTCTGCTCCCAATCCTCATTATTTTTCAGGAAGGTCATCGCCTTTCCAGAAGCTGGAATTATTGGGGAAGGGTATTGATTTATGATCAAACTATGTACCTGTACTTCCCCTCAACAAAGGAAAGCCATTGAAATCCATTGTGAAACATTATCGAGAAATCGTCATATACTCAGATTAATATTTTCGGAAGTGCTTTAGCTGCAGTTTGGTGGATCTCTTGGCTTGGGGGACCACCATGGAAAATGAGATATTGTAGGAGTGAGGAGGCATTCGTAATTATTCTAATGCAGTAGCTTATTAGTTCCCTATCCCAGATGTCACATGAAAATACTTGATTCATTAAAATATTTCTTATCACAATGTCACACCGTTGGAGTTTTTATGAACCCTGCTAAAAATGGAGTTATTTTGAAAATCACATGAAATGCTTTGCAAGAAGGGAGCTGTTATTTCGTTATTGATTATTTCAATTACAAAGATTGGTTTGGGAATTAGATTTTGATTTACTAGACAAGTTAGCAAAGTGTAAAACTTTTAAACTGCTCTTTGCTAGCATTTTCTCTTTTAAATAACAATACTTTATTCATAATTTTGACATTTCTTTTCTTTTCATATCATCTCATTGAGAATCCTCCTTAATAGGACACTATTTTAGAAAAGAAATTATATTTTTATGTGAGGTGAGTGACTAAAAAGAAATATCTAGGTGCCAAAGGTTGAAAGTAAGCTCTTGCGATTATAAGACTTTAACTGCAGGTGTAAAATTATTTTATTATTGATGTTCCTCCTAACTGAGTCTAATTCTGAAGCTCTACCTACCCTGAACTGTTGTATACATTTCCTGGCATAAAGTGTAGCTCACACAAAGCCTTAGAACTCTGAAGTATCTTATTAAAACATGAATAAATAAAAAAGTCATAATAACTCCTAATTATACCAGTAGATATTTTTTGTGGGTTTCTGACAAAGGTCATGACTGGTGATCATATGAAATGAAGGCCTCTTAACAGGACAGCAAAGACTTTTGGCAAACACCAAAGGGATTAAGGACTAGGACATTGTATCATGTTTAATAGAGGCTTGCTTTTCAACAATGTTTTTTCCCAGTGTAACTGTTCATGATTTCTAGAGTTATAATAGTAGTATTCTCTGTGCCTGTATCTCCACCCCTCTGTGTGTGTGTGTGTGTGTGTGTGTGTGTGTGTGTGTGTGTGTGTGTGTAGTATATGCAGATAGACACAGATACTTTTGGAAGAACACATCATCATTATTCTCACATAGAAATTATAAATGAAGGGAGAAATGATAACTATCCAGTATTCTAAAGATCCACTATATTAAAAAATGGACCACAAAACACTCCTTCTGAGGTAGATAATGGAAGTAGAGTTAACTTTCAAGGAGGATGGTAAGACTTGGCATAGTCCCATGAGGAAATTTGCTAATCTTAGATCAATAGCCATCAGATTACCATTAGAAATTAGTAAAATTATATATTTAGGATATAATTAGAAATTATGCTGGTTTAGTTTTTCATCCACCATCAATGACACTTCTTTATGCAACAGACAGATCATTACAGAAAACTGCATTTAATCAAAATACAGAATTATGGAGCCCAGTTTCAA